TGAGCTGCACCATCTCATACCTTATCCAATACATTCCTGGTTGTTGGTAGTAGTCCAAAGACCCTGATCTCTTGATGGTAAACCCGTGGTCCAGCTGAGCAGAGAGAAATGGGGCAACTCAGTGGATCAACATTGAGCTGAAGAAGACTCCAGACCAAGCTGTTCTCCGTTAACTACATAGGTACATATACTGACGATGCCGCTTTTGCAGGGGAACTAGCTCATATCATAAATCTGCACATTGAAAATAGAAAGGCCAGAAAAGACACTACTCCCTCGTGAAAATCTTGGAGGCCAATTTGTTAGCATAGCTCTAGTTTGTCAAACAGGCTTTTGAATGCACATTTAATAATGTGCTCTCAATTTCAAAAGGTCTGAACACTTTTTCATATGCTATAGAATGAAAAATGCTTTGTAATTTAATAAAGTTTTGAAATCAGTTTTAGCCACCTAAGAGAAAGCAGATTGGACTCCGCCCCCCAAGTATTCCCCATTAATACTCTATTTAAATCTGAGGGTTTAGTAAATATAAAAGAAAAAGAATCAGGTTTTAAAACTCCCATAAATTTGGATTTTTTTTCTTTAAGAGTTGGTCTTTGAAAGCAGAGCTACCCTTAAAGGTGAATTCTAATTACATTCTGAACTAAAGAGATATAATATAAAAGTTAGTAAATTTTCTCTAGGAAAATAAAATTAAACTGAATATAATTATCACTGTATATCAAAAATGCATATACAAGGTGCATGCAATTAGAAAAAGGCACAATATATAGAAGACAGGATAAGTTTTCGAAGTTGTTCATCCCGGAATAAGTTGTTATCTTTTGACTAGCTGGGAATAAAAGGTTTAATCTCAAAACTAGGAGAAACAATAATCATGCTGTATATCTACTTCCCCATTCTGCTCGTGGTAAGATGCAGCAGCCTGAACACTTTTCTTTAGAGAGGGGTTCATGAGCTCTTTCAGGTGTTCTGCTAGTGTGATGCTGTTGACAGTTTTTACTTCTAAATTCACAAAGGTATTTCAAAAACAAGCCCCGGCACTAAGCATTTAAACTAAAAACTGCTTGGACGTCTTGGTGTTCTGATTTGAAATCAGGCTACCTCATTGTTCATGGAAAGAAACCTGAGGTTTTACTCTTTTAAAAACGTATATTTCGTTTTTTTTGTTTGTTTGTTTTTGCTTTTTTTTTTTTTTTTGAAATATATTTTTTCTTAGGAAGACGGCGTTTAACACAGGTTTAGTGCACAAAGTTGCCTACATAGTAACTAGTTCTCTACTGCCATCTAGAGGTGAAGTCTCATAGGACAGGCCATAAAATCTTTTCAGAAATAAGCTTCTCTGTATCACAATTATATGCATAGTGATTAGTATGGATTTGTTCAATTAGACTGAAATGCTCTATTTGCATGAGCAAAATGCAAAAGAAGAGCTTTAAAGCATTAGGAAAATTATCAGTTAAAATAATAAACAGCATTAAATGGGGAAAAATAAATTGGAACTGACATCTTAGTCATCGGTTCTTCATCAAGCTGAGCAAATCTAATAATGCCTCCCTCTCCTCCCTCAGCTCTCAAAAAGTACACCGTTAAAATGTCATCTCTAATTCCATTTTAAGTCTATAAATTGCATTTTAATAATCTTTTGTTTCCCTTTCTCCTGTGTGTGTGTGTGTGTGTGTGTGTGCTTTAAATCTCCCAAATATGTACTGGGAAAGGTAGCAGAGGGACAGTGGCATCTTTCTAAGATAAAATGTTGCAATTCGACTGAGAACAATGAGTCTCCATCTAATCCCATTGCTTGACCCAATGTCAAAAGGTCTTTCCTCCTTTCAGAAGGGCCGGGTGATGCCCAGGAAACTTCAGGTAGTAATTTCTCTCCTAGATAGCTCAAGGCCTTTGTGCAACCTCCCTATAAAGTTATCATATGTCCTTTTCTTGGTCTTAATAGTGTAAGGAGTGGGAAACAGAGAAGGAAAAAATGACAACATGAACAAAAACACCATGGTTCAGACTACTAGTACATGTTAAATTACACACAGGTCATTATTACACTGTGAGTAGAGTGTGTGTTATGACAGTGTGCTTTTTGTCACTGTAAGAAAGAATAAATTCCTTTATAAGCATGAATGACCTCTAGCAGGTAGTTAGTGTTCTAACTAAGGAAAGGGAAGTTCCTGGTAAAGACTAATGATTTATTTGTTGACTTCCTATATGAATAAAAACAAACTGGCACTACAATCTAAATTGTTTAAAAAATTTTAAAGGTGTATATGCTTTTCAAATAGTCAGTCTTGGGATAGAGGCAGTTTAAAATAAAATAAATTATTGTATAGATTCCAAGGAGAGAATATTTGCCCAGGAAAAACTGTGTGAATAAGATTTATGCTGAAATTAATTTTTATACATCTATGACATGGTAAGTCAATGATTATAACGAATTAATAAATTGTCAAATGGTCTTTATAGAACATGCTGTTTATAAATGATATTTTTTCTATCTTTCCCTTATATTCTGCCTCACTATAAAATTATTTTTGGGCAGTTATACTTGAATTTGAAATGGAATATTATTTAATGCCAGGACTCCTTTATCTTGAGAGAGAGACACCTAATACTTGGTCTTTGCACTCTAAAAATGGGGAAAATATATATGGATTTGTGCACTGCTATTCCAATTTCTAATTTGCAGCCCTCCCTGGGACTCATGACCTCTTTGGGATTCTTGCGGAGAGCAGGGACTTTTTTGAGAGAAAGTACTCTGGGAAAGGTGGCTAAATGCACATAATATATGGCAGATAATTTTCTCGTGAAACAGCCTCTAAAATTTACATTGATTTTTTTTGTACTACAAATATTAATGACAGTAATTAACATGTGGATTGTGCTCAAGAGGTGACAAGACACGTTTCAAGATGCTTTTCAAAAACAGCCAATTAATTTGAGAATGAGTTAATAATTAAAAAAAACTTTGTAGGGGTGAAAAAACATTAAATAAGCATGCAGGAAATGTGTAACTCAGCATTACGCAGGCCACTTCACAATTTATAAAAAAACAGTTTGTTCATTTTTCATGGAAAACATGCTGGAATTGAACTGAGAAATTTGCACTAAAAATTGCATTCAAAATGGTTCAATTATGATAGTTAGAAAAAAAATCAGTGGACCTCTGACAAATACTAACTGGAGTGTTTTTTGAGATACATTTAGATGAAGGTTTAATAAATGCCTAAGAATCAGCTTTCAGAATTTATTCACATTTGATTAAAATAGGACTTCCCCTTAAAGATATGTTATTTGTAAATTGGAAAACTGCCCTGAAGTTTTGGCCCTTACTCATTGTAGGCCTCCCAGAATACTGTGAACAAATCATTACCAAACAACCAAGGCAAACTTAACTGAAAACTAATGAAAATAAAAGACCAGGTAAAAAGAAAGCAAAAAGAAAATGACAAAAGTGGAAAAGGCACTCTCCCTAGCAGTGGTAGGCCCTGAGCAGGAGCAGAAAAGCAGTCCTTTTCATGGACAAGCGTGCTGGCAGCCTGTTCCAAAAGAAAACCATGCACAATTGGAATCAAGCATTGGAATACTTGCATCTTGGATGAACAATGAAAACAGAGCATAGAAGATTTGATTTGGTTGAACATCATGGTGAGATTGTGACTTACAAAAATTACTGACTGAATATCAGCTGATAAAGTGCACTGACCATCTAGAAAGAACTAGAGAGGACAAGAAGAACAACTTGAAATTTAAAAAATTCAGCACCTCAGAGGAGCATCTGAGAGTATGCATCCTAGTTAGCACCGTCTGTTTACTCATGTGCCAGTTACCCATGAACATGGAATTCTTTATTGAAAAGGTTCAACTGGGAAACAGGAAATGCAAACAGTACACATTGTATGTATGCGTGCATTTGTACCATTCCCAAATTCTGGAAGCCCGTATTCAAATATTTAGTAACCCAGATCTGGTTGTGTCCAGTAGGTCATTTATTTCTCTTTAGTTTTATTTGGAGCTCTAGCAAAGCCAAAAAGAAGAAAGAAAAAAAGGAAATAAAATAGAACTACCCATAGAAGGAGTTAAATATTCAGTATTGCTCAGGAGCATGAGGGAATGTTGAATGGCATAAATAATTTCTAAAAATTTGACATCATAATGTCTTAAGTTCATTTTCAGGAAAAAACCAGCTCAAGTGATTTTCACATTGAATGTGCTTTTAACATTTACATACTCTGGAAAAAAGAGGAAATTATTAAAAACTCAAGTAATCTGGGACTTAACTATATTTACCTTAGAATATAATACCAGGAAGTATGAGGTTTCATTATTCCTTGGTCCAATTTAATCTTTGCCTAGAGCAGCTATCAAATTGCATGTAATGTATGTCTGCACACACAGAACAGAACAGCAACAAAAAAATCTCGTGCAGCCGAATCAATACAATGGTAAATGTTAAAGGACTTCCAACTTTAAGAACAGAAATTTATCAGGAGCAAAAATATTGGGTGTTCAAATCAAGTCAGTCTCACTGACAATCTTATGGTGTAAGCTCTCTGCAATGTTTTGGCTTTACTCTAGGTGCAGTATAAAGATCAGCAGTGTTCCATTGTTCCTCTGCTGTATTGTCTCTCTCAGCTTCCCTTTCCTTCTAGGTCTTGGCAAAAAGAGCACTAAACTCTTCTTCTCGAGAGCCAAAAAGTTAGTATTGGCACAGAGTCCAGTGTGGGGGAAGTTTTACTTTTAAAAAAATAAATCATGAAACTAATATATACTGCAAGATACCCCGGAGGTGTTGGATAATGATTTGACACCCAGGGAAATGATCTGTAAAAACACACTCATATATACAGCCCCACACCGCCTCTTGTGCATTAAGTGGTAGAGCTGTCTAAAGAAATGACCCATTCTGCTGTCTCTGGGTGGAATCCCCTGAGTAACGCATGTCTCTTAGGCAGGTTGCTTTTAAAAAGTTAGAGGTGGTTATTTCAGATGCTTACTGCTATGACAGAAACTCCGGCTGCAGTGCTGTTCGGCTTGGGGCCTGTGTTGAAATGCTTCTTTATCTTTCCAGCTACTGACAGCTGATGTTCATTTTCTGGGAGGCCATCATCCTGGAGAGGAGAAAGAAGAAGGAAGGAAGGAGGGAAGGAGGGAGGAGAAATTAAATGAGATTCATGGGAAATGAAGCCAGATTCTTCTAGTCCCAAACTGTGATCTTAGAATTCAAAGATGTCAGATACAAGCCAGCCAAGGATTGCTCGTGAAAACCTGTTGTTGGAAGTATTTTTCAAGGTCTTATTCATGTTTCTGTTTTACAATTAATGTTCTCGGCGTTACCTGAATTTCAGAGATTTGTTTCTAAATTAAATATATACATTAAAGAGAAACTTAATGCAGACAACTTTCCCTAAAATCAGCATGCACACACTTTCCCTCCTTCCACCCATCATGGAGACCCAAAGCCAAGAACGCTGGCAGAGCTGGGCTCATACAGGCTGTAAATAAACTCAGGTTTGTTCTACCGCTACTCAACTGGCTATTCTAAAATCCCAGACAACCTTTCAGGCAGAGTTTTTCCTCAAGTTTAAAATGCTCCTTGTGGCCATCAAACTCTCTGTTACTATGACAAATTCCACATCGGAGCTCATTTTAATGAAAGCTTCTGCTCTCTGTTGTAACCATCTATGACTGAGGCTGGACAAATTGCTCTCTTGTAATAAATACTGTTAGATTAACAAGAAGCAGGAGCTTAAGTATATGGTGCCACTTGCTAGCTCACTGTAAAAAGGCTGCACAATTATTATGTACTACAAATATGTATTAATAAAAAAGTTTTAAGGCTGCATGATTTTAAAAGGCTGACACTATATTTTGTTCACTATGTAATTCCTAGGTCTTGGCATAGTGCCTTGGCCCATAGTAGCTGCTTAATAAATATAAATGGATGAATAGAGTATTTGTAGCTATCTGTTAAACCCAAAATACTGGCAAATCTTCCAATGCCATTCCTCATTTTTCTTCTCTCCTTCCTCTCTATCATTATGGACATCATTTCTATTCACAAAAATAAATCTGCAGCTCCCCAACATGACTGCTTGCTCATTTCGAATGGCTGTTTTATTTATATGGCGTTTACTCCTTCCTTCAGAGCTTTGCCATTCATTTATTTAATGGACATTAACTGCATATTTACAGGGTACCAGGCATTGTGGTAGGTATGGGGAAACTATAGTGAGAAATATAAGAATGGTCCTGTACTTTGGGTTCTTGTGGTCCCCTTTTCCTTGAAAACTTGAGTTTGAATGACCTGTTTCAAGACATTTTTCCTCAAGTAAATGTAATCCAGTCTAATGATGCTTCTATAAATCCCTAAAGCTTTTTCATTATATGAATTTACATTACTTCCATTTTTCAGTATTAAGAGATTATCTGTCTATTTATCTATGTCTATCCATCCACCTTTGCCCTTGCCCTTTTGGGTCATATTTTGTTCTCTCTGTCTTTCTCTTTGTTTCTTTCTGCCCCTCCACCCCTATGTGTGTTTGGTATGGAACTCAGAGTCTTCCCACTCACCTACATCCCTAGTTCTTTTCTTAATTTTTAAATTTTGAGATACTAAGATCTTGCTGAGATACTAAGTTGCCTAGGCTGGACTTGAACTTGTGATCCTCCTGCCTCAGCCTTCCAGAATGCTGAGATTATAGGTGTATGCCACCACATCTGGCAAGTTTTCAATAATCTTTAATACAAGCACTTGGTATAGTATCCTGAACATAGTGGGTATTCTCACTTTACAATATTCTTGCACTTATGGATTAATGGCCAGAAGAAGGGATAACTAATGTTTATTAAGACACATCTAAAACCAAATGTGGAGGAAGAAAACAATACAGAATGTATTTTTTAAAATTCTATATTGTGGAAAGAGTCAGAAATAAAGTGAACATCACTTAGAGTGAGATAATACTGGGGAAACATTGGAAACAGGGACATATGACGTCTCCACTATGAGAGGGTGTGTTAGGAATGGAAGGCTATGGAAGAAAGAAATGATCTCTGCCTGCTAGAACCCTGCAGGCTAACTAGGACAGGGAGAACACCCAGACCATGTTGAATAATAAAATAGATCAGAAACATAAGAAAGAATTGTCACAGGTGGCTTCACAGCCTCATGGCTTGGCTAGAAACCCCAAGGGAACTCGGGGGAGAGAGGACCTGTGTCCCACTGAGAGCAGTCAGAACAGACTTTGAGGAAGGATCTGGGGTCTAACTTTGTCCTTCCTGATGGGTAGAATGTGACAGGCAGAGAGGAGGGAAAGTGGTCTTTTGCTGTACACGGTATGGGAACAGGAAGCCACAGGCATGTTTGCCAAACAATGGTTCAACCAGATCATGTCTAGGAAAGAGATCACATGGAAGAGTAGTGGGGGACAAAGTCAAAGAATAGGAAAAGACCGACCATGAATGAGTACTAAAAGATACCAGGAGTGAAGTCTTAGTCTGAATTAGGAATAAAGCAATGCTTCCTAATGTCAGTGTAGGACCTGTGAAATACTTCTCTACCCAGGAATTCATACAGTATATATCCAGTTTCTGACTGCACAAGTGAAAGAAAAGCTGGATGATCACCACAAAGAATTAGAACTACATGGTTCAGAGTTTTAACATAAGGGTGAATTCAAAGCTGTATATAAATACTTTTTTTTTTTTTTTAAATGGTGGATGAAAAACAGGCCCCTGGAATTTAAGCCAGATGAACACCCTTGGAGTCTATGTTAGAATTTTTGAGGGTATTTAAACATTTGACAAGGCATGAAATGATGCTGAAGGTCTTGCAAACACTGGCATCGTGCCCCTGGCATAGTTTGGGCTCTGCCTGAATGAAAGGGCCTACCCTGAGACAGTGGTGCCCCAGCAGGGCTCACCCCAACATTGTGCTTGCGGTTCTAACCAATTCTTAGGAGAGTTTCAGGCCACCTTGAGCAAAAACGTTGAGACCGGGAAGCAGATCAGGGGAAGATTCTTTTTAGGACAAAAGAAACTTGTGTGTACTTGTGTCTCAGGATAAGAAACTAGTGGAAAATGAGAGTGGGGGAGACAGGAGAGAGGGGTCAAGACAAGGAGGGAGGGTAGCAGGGAAGCCCTCTGACCCGGGAGATTTACATAGTTCTGTGAGGCCACAGGAAACAAGTACAAATGGGTGGGACCGTTTGGAGGTAGAGGGAGGCAATTTAAAAGAGGAAGACAGGCAGAGGAAGGTAGGTAAGGCTTACTTGTTCAGGAGTCCTGTGCCAAGGACACACACAGATGATCTCTATCATCCTCACAGTAGTGTTTACTACATGCATTAGTCCCATTGTGAAGATGAGCAAGACGGAGGCTTAGCAAGGTGAAATCATTTGCTCAAGTTCACACAGCTACAAAGCAATCTAGCCAGGACTCAGCCAGGTCTGAAACTATGTTCTTTCTACCACGCCACGTTGGATTCCCTGGCACGGCGTCCAGCTACCAAAGATCTCCAGAAGTGTGAAGCAAAAATGATTAATGAATCATTTTTTCCATGACGAAAATCATACAGTAGTGAGGGAGAATGAGAATTGAATTAGAGGTTGAAAAAAAGAAAAGCAGAGTATTTGGATAGGACTTAATGGAGCCTGGGAAGCATTTGGAGGTCAATAAAAGGGATGCTGAGCATGTCAGAGGAAAGTTCCTGTGGGATGCAGTTAGAAACTTCTACGTCAAATGAAGATGGAGCGTTCACTTATCTGGCATGTGTTGACTTGGCCTAATGGGGTCGGGGCTCCGGACCTTGCATAGGGAGGCAGTGCTGGAGGCCTGGCTGACACTGGATGGAAGCTAGTTGCATTTTGTCAGTGGTGAGTCTGTGATTGGCATAGGCTGTGTTAGCAGCTTGGGTGCAAATAAGGAGAAAGAAAGACAGCTAGGTTTCCAGAGAAGCAGCCCCTGTTTGACTTTCTGAGGAAGATTCATCTCTTGTTATACAATCTCACCACCTCCTCCCTCCCGCCATTAGCATCTTCGCCAGAAATACTTTTACCTGGCTTTTGCCCCCTGCTGGGTCTCAAGCTAAGAGGTTTTTGTTTGTTTGTTTGTTTGTTTTTTCCTTACCACCTCACAATGGACTTCCTTATCACTTCCCAGCTGTGTTCAGGTCCTAATCTCCCATCAAACTCCTAGCAACTCTTTCCGATGGCAGGGCCTGGATATTCAGGTGAAGCTTTGTGCTTCCCTGGGGTTATTGGTTCACATCAAGGAAATGAACATAATGAAAGAACTCTTACAAAGTTGTCAGAGTTGCTTTTGACTTCATAACTTAAAACGTTTCAGGATTTTTCCCCCCAGTGAAATAAGGCGTCTCAGCTAGAGGATGTAAACATACACACACACACAATGGCAATGAAAAAGTCTGCAGCATTGTTTGATAAAAATTCAAATGCTTTCAGCATAATTGGATTGAAAGACACAAACAACTGACTTTGCAGGATCTAATCCATACCTGAGCCATGCAGATTGATAGGGGAGATTTAGCTAACTTACTGTCTTGCATTGATAAAAGAAATAGGGCCATTAAACATACATTTTATGTATATATCTTTATCACCATTATTCTGAATAGATTGTGTGCCAAAAATATGCTATGAATTTTCTAAACATGACAAACCTGGCAGTATTTTACAAATAGTTATAGTATTATTACCATACGTTCTGGTTTGGGAGTACTTTCTGAAGTTTGACACAGGCTGGCTGTGGTTTGAGGTTAGTGGTTTTTGATTTAGAAATTCCCATCCACTACTTGGCAGAGCATTGCAACTGACAAGAACAAAATTAGTTTGCAAAATGGAAAATGAACTCTCACAGCTGTCTGCAGGAGACCTAGCCTCCTGACCTCTGTTCTCTCAGGGTCGCTGGGGAAGAGTGTGGGGAGGGCTTCGGGGCTCGGATGTGAAGTCGCTCAGTAGAGTGAATTCCCCTCTTTCCTTGGGGAAACCACCTCAGGAGCCATGCATTAGAAACCCTGCTCCCCTTACAGAGTTTTGGTTTTGAATCACGGATCTGGTTTCCAGTCTGTTTCTCGCCAGACTCTATTATT